TTTAAGACCATGATGTTCAGAGGAGAATATCAAACCAGAATCCTACACCAGGTGAGGAGTGAAGCTGTCTGTAGTCTCTCTCAGCTCAGAAGTTGTCAGTGCTGGAAACTACAGAATAAACACCTAGAACCTACCACATGTAAGGCGCTCTATAAGTATTACGTATCATTTACCCTGTGCAACCCTGTGAAGTAGGTGTTAAAAAGCACCTGCAGTTTGGAGATGGGGACGTAAGCCACAGGTTGGGTAGCTTTTCTGGTGTCCCACAACTGAGGAGTGGCAAGGCCAGCATCTGAACCCAGACAAGCTGGCTCCGGCCCCAGGCTCCATTCCCTACAGTAAGCGAGGGAAATGGGAAAATGAGACCCAGAGTCACTCCTCGTTCTGGCCTCAGTTTCCTCTTCTGCTGACTGAGATTGAAGATATCTCCAAGAGTTCCCATGAGAACGCAGTGTCAATCACCTGGTTCCCAGGCACAGCGCCAGACACCAGGGGTGCTGCGTGCGTGGGAGGTGGAGGCGCCCGGACTGGCCAGCCAGCCCTGAGAGGACCCGCAATCCCGCCGCCGCGCCTCTCCACCGCCGGGGGGCAGTCGAGGGCCTAGAAACCCTCTCAGCCACTGACGGATGACTAAGGAAGGGAATTTCTAGGGCCGCAGCCTCCTGTTCCAGGCTTCTGATCCTTAGGAGGGGATCATAAGGAAGAACGGAAGCACAGAGGGGCTAATGACCGGCTATATACACCGCGGGTCCCATTAGAACACTTGGGTCCCTGGAGGAAAGGGGAGAGGACCGCACGGCCAGAGAAGATGAACTTGACTTAGGAACTGTACTAAGCACACTGTTACTCACACAGCCTCACAAGGTTGGGAGGCCGCGCGGGCAGGGGGCGGGGCGGGGGAGGGGGGAGGCGGCGAGGGCGAGGCAGAGATGCCCAGATAACAGGAGAAGAAACTGAGGCTCAGATGACCGACCAGTCAATTGGCAGAGTTGAGATTCAAACCCAGGAATTATGACTTGAAGGCCATGTTCTTCTGTGAGGATAACAGTTGCTTTTCTACAAGGCAAAACAATATATGTGATAGTGCAACAAAGACTCATGAGACCACCACCCAACTTAAAAAATAAAACAAGGCATAAAATGGAGGTGGTCCAAGCCTTCTGTGTACCCTTCCCAGTTACAACCTCTGGCTCTCCCCAGAGGTGACCCCTCTCAGGAACTGCTGTCGCTCCCCAGCATTGGGTCTACTACACCTTTACTACAGACGCCCATGTCCCTAACACTGCACAGTGTGGTTTTGCCTTTTGAAAACAAATCAACTGTATCATGCTACCATGCCTTCTCATTTTCATGTTTTTTCCAGATGCAGCCATGAAGGTATGTGAGATTCTGACTTTTCTCCTGCTGTGCACTTCTCTGTCAGAGGGCTGTACCACAGTGTGTGCATCCATTCTCCTATACATAGGCTTTCACTTCTCTCCCAATTTTTGTTATCAAAAATCTCCCTGTAATATATTTTTTTTCCTGTGTGTTTCCTTATATATGTGTGTGTGTGATGGTCCCCTAACAGCTCAGAAACATCTCAACAACCTTGTATCATTCCCCACCCCCACTCCTCAGACCTCATTTCCCTCCCCTCTGACCTAAAACGATGCTCAAAGGAATCTGGACACACATAGTGACTTTGAATCCCTGCTCCACCATCAGACTGTATAACACCAGACACATGACAGTGACAGTGTCCCCTCTCTGGGCCTCAGTTCCCTCTGTAAAATGAGAGGGGGTTGTCCATTTGTGGGGAGGCTGACTGAAAGAATGCTCATCATGGCTATTCACTCTTTGGATACCAGGAACATCATCTCATGCCAACACTAGGGAGATATTATTATCCTAATCCCTTGGATTAAAAATAACAAGGCTCAGGACTTCCAGTCAAGATGGTGGCATAGGCAGACATGGCTCATCTCCTCGCAAAACCACATCAAAATTACAACTAAAATATAGAACAACCATCACTCAGAACTGTCAGAAATCAAGTTAAATGGAAGTCTGATAACTACAGAATTAAAGAAACCTCATCCATCCAGACTGGTAGGAGGGGTGCAGATGTGGAATGGGCTGGTCGCTCACCCATGTGTGACAGATAAAAATTCAGGAGGGATATCTCGGGAGAGAGGAGTCCCAGCCCCACACCAGGCCTCCCACCCCAGGGTTCCAGTGTCAGGAAAATAAGTCCCAACAACTTTTGGCTGCAAAAACCAGCAGGGACTGTGACAATGAAAGAAACTACTGGAGCCCCAAGCAGTTCCTCTTTAAAGAACCCATACACAGACTCACCTACTCAGACTCATTCCCTCTGAGCGCCAGCACCGGGGTGGCAGCTTGAAAGGCACCAGTGCTGTAGAGGGAGAAACTGAAATGACTGGCATCAAGGTGAGCAAAGGCCATTGTGCCTTTTCTAAACCCTCTCCCAATAGAGGGCAGAGCTGGCAAGCTGGTGCCATATCTGAGACTCTATCAACCTGGCTAACACTGTTCAACCCACCTTGGAGATCCCCAGAGACTCTGCCCCACCCAACTTACTGGCCACCCAAGCTGCTTTTCCATATCAATGGCCAGTCTTGGCTTATGCTCCATAACTTCCTAAATCCTATCAAATAAGCCACAGCTGACCTCAGTGAGCCCCAGGCCCAGCACTAGCAGCAGCCAGCCTAGATTCACAGCAGCAGCTTTGCCTGGGAACCTCAAACCCAGCACAAGTAGCAACCATCTCGGATTGCTTTATAGTTCATGCAGGGTGTCCCCAGGCAAAACACAGGTGGGGGCTGACCTTGGCTGCACCACCCTGGAAACCCCATGGCCAGTGCACCTAGTGGACAGCTACAGACCACATTGACACACCACCACCCTGCCCCTGCACAGCTGACCCACCTGGACAGCGGAACTTTATGGTAAGTGGCTACAGCCAATCCTTGCAGCTGATGACCTGGGTAAATCCCTCCCATTGATCTGTCAACAGCAATTAAAGCTCAACTGCAAGAGCAGGGTGTACTCAGCCCACACAAAGGGCGCGCCTCAAGTACGCAGCTTTGGTGATAGGGGAAGCTGTGTCACCACTCCTACAGGAGAGCAACTACATTAGGCTACCCAAGACACAGAGTCAAAACAGCCCTACCTAATACATAGAAATAAACACAGGGAGGCTGCCAAAATGAAGAGACAAAAAAAAAAAAAACATGGCCCAAGTGAGAGAACAGATCAAAACTCCAGAAAGAGAGCTAAAAGAAATGGAGATAAGCAATCTAGCAGATGCAGAGTTCAAAACAGTGGTTATAAGGATGCTCAAGGAACTTAGAAAGGACCTCAACAGCATAAAAAAGATCCAGTCAGAAACAAAGGATACAGTAATTGGAATACAGAACAATCTATAGGGAAACAACAGTAGAGTGGATGAAGCCAAGAATCAAATCCATGATTTGGAACATAAGGAACCAAAAAACAACCAATCAGAACAACGAGAAGAAAAAATAATCAAAAAAAATATGAGGATAGTATAAGCAGCCTCTGGGACAACTTCAAGAGATCCAACATTCACATCATAGGGGTGCCAGAAGGAGAAGAGAAAGAGCAAGAAAATGGAAATCTATTTGAAAAAATAATGAAAGAAAACTTCCCTAATTCAGTGAAGGTAATAGACATCCAAGTCCAGGAAGCACAGAGAGTCCCAAACAAGATGGATGCAAAGAGGCCCACTCCAAGACACATCATAATTAAATGCCAAAGTTTAAAAATAAAGAGAGAACCTTAAAAGCAGCAAGAGAAAAACAGTTAGTTACCTACATGGGCATCTCCATAAGACTGTCAGCTGATTTCTCAAAGGAAACTTTGTGGGCTAGAAGGGATTGGCAAGAAATGTTCATAGTCCTGAAAAGCAGGGACTTACAGCCAAGATTGCTTTACCCAGGAAAGCTAACATTTAGAACCGAAGAGTAGATAAAGAGCTTCCTAGACAAGAAAAAAATTAAAAGAGTTCATCATCACCAAACCATTATTATAGGCAATGCTAAAGGGACTTAAGAAAAAGATCACAATTGTGAACAACAATTTGGCAAAAAATACATATCTATCAACAATTGTATCAAAAAAACAAACTAAGCAAACAAGAAGAACAGAGACAGAGTCATGGACAGAGAGCGTTTTGATGGCTGCCCGAAGGGAAGGTGGTGTGGGGGAATGGGTGAAGAGATGAGAGGATTAAGAAGTACAAATAGGTAGTTACAGAATAGCCATGGGGATGTAAAGTACAGTATAGGAAAGGGAGCAGCCAAAGAACTTACACGCATGACCCATGGACGTGAGTAATGGTGGGGGGATTGCCTTAGGGAGTAGGGGGTCCTGGGTGGAGAGAGGCAAAGGGAGAAAATTCAGGACAACTGTAATAGCATAATCAATAAAATGTAATTTTAAAAAATGTTTTTAAAATGCCAAGGCTCTTGGAAAGGGAAGCCACTGCTTAGTCATAGAGAGGCCTGCCTCGTTTATTCCTCATGAGCATTAATAATAACCAACATTTACTGAGCACCTACTATGTGGCAGGTGCGGTGTTCAGTGCTGTACATGCACTATGCCTTTAAATCCTCACTCCCAACCCCATGAAGTGAGGACACAGAGGCTCCGACAGGATACAAGTTCTGCCCAAGGCCAGTAGGGGCAAAGACTAAGAAAGCTCAGAGTCAGCGCCCTGACCGCCTGTTCACAGCAGGCACCCAGTGAGGAGCCAGGCCTTGACCTAGCCTCTTTCCCCCACCCAAGCAACCTCCTCTCAGGGGAATTGTGGCCACCACAGGTGCAGGGAGCAGTTCCTCTCCCCTCACAGCCTGAAACACACTGGCAGGAGCTCCTCTGAAGGGCCCAGCAGCGGGGCCAGTGGAGCCCATCTCCGGCAGGGCTGGGCAGGAAGTGGGGTGGAGTTTGGGGCCCACCAAGGTGGGATCTGGTACCCCAGGGCAGCTGCAAACCCAGACGAACTAACCCACTGGTAGAAGATGCCTGGGGGTCTTGGAGTCCTGAAAACCCCACCTGGGATGATTGTCCTCCTCTTGATCTCCACTGCTGACCTGGGTAGGTGGCTGACAGAAGTGTGGGGGAGGGGGACCTGGGGAGGCTGGAGAGAGAGCGCAAGCAGAGGGAAGGGCTGCAGGGAGTGGGGCAGAGAGGAGCCAGCCAGAGGGGGGCTGGGAAGGCGGCTGTGGACACTCTGTCTCCTTGACACTCCCAAACAGGCCTAAAGGAGCCTGGAGGGGGCTCAGCCATATTGAAGGGGCATCCACCACCCTACGGAGGGAGAGGGAGGCAGGGGCCAGTAGTGCCTTCCCCACCCTGTCCCACAGGTCAAAATAAGGAACTAAGATTGCCCTTGACTGAGCTTCGGAGCTCGGAGCAGGAGGGGACCTGGGGGAGCACTCAGCTTCAGAAGGAAGAAAAAGCTTGCCCTTTTACTGCCTTGAATCCCAGTCACCCCGCTGCGTAGGGAGCCCCTTCTAGTGCTGGGGGAGGAGTGCCCATGACACCACCCGCCCCACCCTCCCTCAGCAATACCAGCTGTCAGGGCCGCAGCCACCTGTTTGACCAAGGAGTACACAGAGGAAGCTGGTCACACAAGGTTACACTAAGAGCTGGGACTGGACCCCCACGACCCTGAGGTTGCTGCCTTTTTCCCCACTTGTTCCTTCTTGTTTCTTCCGCACCTCCCTCCGTCCTTCTCAGTAAGAGGCAGCACAGCCATGTGGGCCGGCCTGGGGCACTGGAGCTGGGGTTTCCCACAGCACCCGGGCTGGGCCACCCACCCTGCTGAGACACGCTCCTAATCCCCAGCCCAGGGACTGAACTGCCCACTGACCCCCAGGTTGACACATGCAGGTTACAGAGAATGAGGGGCGAGCTCAGAGACACAGGACAAGGCAGACCCAAAGACTGGCAAAAGGAGGCCCAGGAAGCCTGAGGTTTGAACTCCTAGCCACTCCCATGCCCTGGGCCTCTGCTGCCCCACTTGAAAGAATGGCATAATGACAGAACCTTATTCTAAGGGTTTTGTGAAGATTACGTAAGATAAAGTGTCGGGGTGCAGGGCAGGGCTGGGCTAGGAAAGTAGACAAGAAAGGCCTTCTGAAGGAAGTGATGCCCAAACTCGTTGTGGAAGTTGCTGCCCTGGTAGAGGCACTCTGGTACCAGGGAACCAAGTATCCAAATGCAAGAGGTGGCACTGGAGAGGGGAGTGGGGGCCCCTCGAGGGCATGTTACCACACCAGGTGTCTTACTCTCCTCCCCCAAGGTGTGTTCCCTCCCTCTTCCCAGGGGTCTCTCTCTCTCTCCTCTCCTAGGTACCTGCTCGCTCCCTGTCCCCACACTGCATGTCCTCTGTACGCCCTCCCCCTTTTTCCCCAGCTGTGCCCTCATACTCCCACCCCCCCCACACACACGCCCCCCAGGAGCACTACAGCTGCGGGGACCAGGGCTGGAGTCAGTGTCCCCATCCACGGTCCCTGACGCATCCACCTCTCTGCAGGCCTAGGAGCCCAGACCCCGTGGATGGACTGGGGCCCGCCATCAGTGACGGTGAGTGTCGGGGACAAGGCCCACCTCTGGTGCCTGCACAATAGCCTCCCTGGCAACCTCAACTTCACATGGTGGAAAATCCTCCAAGGCAACGGCACATGGCCCCCTCGATTCCAAGGCAAAGGCCATGGCTCCAGGGGTGAGCTGATCTTCCCGCTGGCGAGAAAGAACCTCACAGGCCTGTACATGTGCAAAGTCGAAATAAACAACACGCTGATCAGGCACTCCTGTGGCACCTATCTCCGCGTGCGTGGTGAGTGCGGGTCCTGGCTCTGGGGTCCCACCACTCCGCAGCTGGGGACTCCGGGCCTTCTAGCCTGTGGAGTGCGGATGGAGCCAGTGCCTGCGTGGCCAGCATCCTCAGTCTCCACTGGTGTAAGCTGACCCATTTCTCATCCGTACAGTGGGGGCTCCCGCGGGGCCTTCCTCGGGGCAGGGCTGGGGCTGGGCTGGGCACAGGGCTCTGAGCAGCACACCCTCCTCACAGAGCCGACCCCCAGACCCTTCTTGGACATGGGCGAGGGCACCAAGAACAACATCATCACAGCCGAGGGGATCATCCTGCTGTTCTGCGCTGTGGTGCCTGGGACACTGCTGCTGTTCAGGGTGAGCCACCTGGGACCAGGCTCTGGAGTCTGAGGGGCCCCCGCTAAAACTGAGAATGACAGCACCCACCCCACAGGGGCTACCGAGGGTAAACAAGTTAATACCAGGACAGGATTTCACGTGGTGCTCGGACGGACGTCCTTGCTCAGTCTTCCCTCAAGGCTGTCCTCATTGCCATTCTGCAGAGATGTTCTCACTCTGCAACCCCTACCCTACCCCCGACCAGCAGCCCCAGGGTAGGGGGTGCAGATTCTTTACTTTCCTCGGACCCAGAAGTGCTGTGGCCCTCCAGATGTTGCCAAGGCCAAGGAAGATGGGGGCTGGGGGTCCTCCCAGACTCTCTGACCTGCAGTCTCTTTAGGCCATAGGGCAACGATAGCTACTTAACTATGGATGTTGTTATTAGTGGAGAACAATTAGGCAGTGGAGACAGCCAAAAGGGTACTGGCTTGGACCCAGAGAGACTCTCCCCTCACCCAGTATGTGGCTTTCAGCAACATCCCTTACTCGCTCTGATAAAGCACCTCCTGGCATCTAGAAGGGCCTGAAAACATAGCCCCCCCACCCCCCAACTGAGGCTGTCAATCCCCCACAGAAACGATGGCAGAATATGAAGTTTGGAGTGGACTCCCGGGATGATTATGAAGATGAAAATCTTTATGAGGTGAGTGGAGAGCTGGGACAGGCTAGGAGCAGGTGCTTTGGGGGTCTCATGGGGGTCCTCATGGGGTAGGCTGGGGGCAGGGAGCCAGGCATCAGGACACTGAGGCCTACTACCATGTTTGCACCCCAGGGCCTGAACCTTGATGACTGCTCCATGTATGAGGACATCTCCCGAGGCCTCCAGGGCACCTACCAGGATGTGGGTAGCCTCCACATTGGAGACGTCCAGCTGGAGAAGCCATGACTGTGACCAGCCAACCTGGCTGGCCCTGCCTGCTGTGGTCCCGGTCCGGTGTCTCCCCCTTTCCCTAGAACCAGCTCTGTTCACAGTCATTCCCAGGAGTGCCCTGCATCAACTTCCCCCTTGGGAGATCCGCTCTTTCTCCCTCTAGGTTGTCCTCCTCCCCTCCACACATCCTAAGCGATGCTCCCCGCCAATGCCTTTTCCAGGCTCCCACCCACTCACCCACTCAGCTGATAATGAGCCCTTAATTGCTGCCTCTAGGGGCCTGATTGTAGCAGCCTCGGTGTCACCTCCCCCCTCCCAGCTCTGGCACGGCCACTTAGTGATAATAAATGCTTCCCAACTGCAGCTCTTGGCAGGCTTCATGGATCTTATGGGAACTGCTCACCTTCCTGCCCTGGGACCGACCCAGGGGTCCAGGCATCCAGTCCCCTCCTCCTTGAGACCCAGGATTCTGGGCCCCCAGCTGCTGTGCACCCTGACTCCCCGGGACCAGGGTGCCAGTCTTGGCTGCCCCCTGAGAGAAACAGGAAGTGTCTTGGGGAGGGCTCCACCCCAGGCCATGTCTTCCCAGTGAAGGAGGTACACAGGAGTGAATGGAAGTGGCCGTATTTATTTATGCATCTTTAAGTTCCAGAATCCCAGGGGACTGTCTGGTGGCGTTGGTACCGAATTCTCCTATGGCTACACCCGCTCTCTGCTAGTGGACCTGTGGCAGGGGATTTGGACAGTCTGTGGTCCTAACCAGAAGGGCAATGGCAGGCATAGAGATGCAGAGTGCCTGAGACAGAAGGGAGAAAGGTTGAGCCACGGGAGGCAGTGACGGCGGCACAGCTAGCGAACGGACAGGCAATGAAGGACAGGGAATCAGACAGAAACAGTAGAAAGAGAACGGAAAGAAGGGTCCGTAGAGAAGCAGACACAGAGAGGAAAGCAGCAGGTGGGGAAGTGACTGAGATGACTATGCAGAGACCAGAGACGGGAAGAGAAGGGTTCCGAGGGTGAAGTGACAGAAAGTGGGGCAGACGGCCGGACCGGGAGACCCCGACGGAGAAATGGGGAGAGAGAAAGAGAGACAGACACAGACAGGGAGGGAGGGCCAAGGACAGGAGCACAGGGAGGCGGAGAGAAAAAGACCGAGCAACACCCAGAGACGAAAAGGGGAGGCGGCCTTTCTGCCGCGCCGCGGTCGCCCCCAGCCAGCCGGGAGGTGGCGGCGAGCCGGGGCAGAGGCGGGAAGCGCGGAGCCCGCGCCCGGCACACCCACGGGCCGACCCTGCGGGGAGAGGTCGGGCCGGGCGGGGCCGGTGCCCGCGGCGGCCGGGAGGGCGGCGAGAAGGGGAAGGAAGCGGAGGTGCCGGGCGGGCGCGGGGCGCGGGCAGGAAGCGGGGAGGGGCGGCGGGGCGGGGGCCTCCGGAAAAACGCCCCAACTTCCTGCCCCGCCAGAGCCAGGAAGCGGGAGCCGGGACGCAGGGCTGGGATCGCTGAGCCCGACCTCGGGCGCCCCGCCGGCCACCTCCCCGCGCGGACACCAGGTACACCGTCCGCGGCCCCGCCCTGCTCCTCCCCTCGGCCGCTCGGGGAAGTGGGAGGAGGATGAGGGGCTGGGGCGCGGCCGGCAGCGGAGGCACCTCCTCGGGGCCCCCTGAGCCGGCGGCCGCCCTCCCTGGGCCTCAGTTTTCCCACCTGTCAAAGGGGCGAGGAGAGGAGAACGAATACCTGCCGAGTGCCAGTGGGGGGAACAGGGACTGACGCGTGCGAGGCCTGGGCCAAGGCCTCCAACTGTCCAGCGGAGGACAGATGATCACTCCCTCTGTACGGGTGGGGAAACTGAGGCCAGGGCGCAGAACCGACTCGTGCCAGGGCACACCCGTTGTGAAACCGAGTGGAGGTGGGATTTGAACTCGCAGGTGCTTTCCGCTAAGCGCCGTCCTCCAACGTCACTTGCCTTATTTAGAGCCACCTAAACAGAAAAACGACAATAAACGTCGCAGGCCGCTGTGAAGCTGAAAGTTGCAGGGCGCTTTTGAAAGCGTTTTTGGAAATCTCTTTTTCTGGGCCATTCACTCCATCCTGAGAGCTGGGTTGTAGGGGACAGAGCTGACGGTCTGCCCCCATTGTATAGATGGGAAAACTGAGGCTCGGGAGAAAAAAGTAATTGAATATTCCAGATTCCACTGCATGTCAGATGGAAAGGTACGCCTGCTCCCAGGAGTTTTGCTTTCCAGTCCAGCAGAAAGTGTGCAGGGGTCGCGGTCGGGGGGAGAATTAATGTACGAGTGCTGAGAATTCAACTGGCCTCTGAGTTGGGGAGGCAGGATACCGCAGGAAGCCCAGTCCGGGAACTAAGAGGCCCCGTTGACTCTCAGATCTCAGACTGAGCCCCGGCAATCCCGGGGCAACTCTCCCTCCTCACCTCGGGCCGGCGTGGGGGTGGGGCCCAGGGGAGTGACGGGAGCAGTCGAGATACGGAAACTCCAGCCCTCCAAGGCGGGCCAGAGCGACCCCATCTGGCCAGCGTGGTGCAGTGGAGACCTAGAGCGGCCGGCAGGAGGAGTAGAGTCGCAGGCAGGAGCCGAGCTAGAGCGGCTGGCGGAAGGAGTGGCTTTACAATCAAAGGAGGCCTCTGGGGCGGCTAGAGCGACTCAGAGGCTGGGGTGGGGGAACCGGAGCCGGCGCTCTGAGGCTTCGGTTTTGGCAGCTGCGGTGGCTTCTCCGACCCCGAGCAGGTGAGGCACGCGGCCCCTGGCGGGCGTCAGACCTTGGCTCTGCACGTCCGCCCCAGCATCCCTAGCAGTGCACACAGCCACGTTTTCCGTAGGATTTGGGGCCCCTATAGACCCGCCACGTCCCATGTAGGTTTGGGGGCTCGTGTACACCCGCCACGTTCTATGTAGATTACAAGGTCCTACAGACTCCCCAGGTTTCTGCTAGCCCCTTATGGAGACCCGGCTCCTTACAGACTTGGTGACCCCATCAATCAGTGGCATCCCCTAGAATCTAAGGCCCTGTAGCTCCTGGCTCTAGGCACACGCCACAGGCCCCTATAGAATTCTGGTCCCCTTTCAAGTCTCCAGAAATCGCATAGACCGGCTACTCTTTTCTGTGGTTTCATGATCGCGTGACCCTCAGATCCCTGTAGACCAGCCATGTGTCAAATGGAATAATGGAAGCCCCTTATGGACTTACACTGACTACTCTGCATTGTAGGTTCTTTGAGGCTCCCAGAGGTTCTTGGAGACCAGGATCATCCATTCAATATCTCATATAGACTCTGAGCCCTGAGTAGAACTCAGGTACCCATGTTGTCTCCCACAAGTCACTGTTTTGCTTTAGGATCTCCACCCCTAAACCTGCTCTGACCCTCCTCAGCCCCATGCACATAGCACCTCAGGCCTTGTCAGCTGCCTACAGATACATCGGACAGCTTCAACCTTTGTGGCAGCCCCTCACCTCTCCACATCTCCTAAGCAGCCAATCTCCCCACCCTCATCCTTCCTCAGCCTCAACCCTTTGGGGAGCAGCCCTCCTGCCCAGGCCACAGTGCCCACATATCCCTGACTTTTCTAGGCCCCATAAGGAAACCTGATGTGTCTCAGCTTTGACTCAGACGTTAATTTCCTAAGTTTGGGGTTCCCCATGCTCTGGAGCAACACATTCTGGTAGTTAAATGAATAAACTGTGAAGCCAGACGGCCTGGGTCGGAATCCTGGTTCTGTCCCCTATGAGCTGTGTCTGTTTCCCCGCTCTGTGAAATGGGATGATAATAACGATGACTTCATGGGGTCACTGAAAGGATTAAGTTAGTTAATACCTATAAAAAAGTAATGTTGTGCCTGGCACATGCTTAATGGTACTTAGTGCACATTAAGTATTGTTATTATTTCATATTATTGTGATGAGGAATAAAGGAGATAATACGTGTTAAGTGCATGATTTGAGGGCCTGGCTCACATTTGCTCAGATAACCTGTGTCCTCTCCTGTGCTCTTTTGGAATCTCCCTGCTTCTGTTGAACCTATCCACTCCCAAGTGGGACGAGCATGGACTCTCCATGTTCATGGTCATGTTTTTCAGCCCAGAAATTGCACCTGACAGCCTGGTGAAGGTTTTCCATCTCTGGTGGGAATAACCATAGCACGGGGTCGCTTGTGGTTGCAGGGGCTAAGTGAGTTACTGTGTGAGAAGTACTCAGAGCAATGCCTGGCACCCTGTAAGTGCAATGTAAGTTTAGCTTTCATAATAAATAATTACTATTCTGCCTTGGTTTGCAGTTTTATTTATGTGAACATTTAACAATGCTCAAATCTTAAATTACCCAGCTTGGATGTTGGACAGATACCCTTTATGGAAAAGAATAAAAATGATGCCTGCTCTGGTGAACCCATGGGATGGCATTTGGACACTCCAGAAAGCATCATTGTTTAATGATCATAATCAAAATCCTAGCTACCATTTATTGAGTGCTAGGGAGGAGGCCTGTCTGTGGAAAAGGGAGAAGGGTGGGTCTCAGGCCACTAGGGTTATAAATAGCTCTGGGCTGTGTGTGTGTGGGGGGGGGTGCAGCTCTGGGAGGAGGAGAGTGCCCCCCACGGGTCCACCTCCCCCCCACCCCGCCCCGGCCCCGTTTCTACAGTTTTACCCACCTGACGTGCTCTTGCGGCATTAGTCAGACTAAATAAGGACACAGAAGACATCAGAGGGAAGACACAGGGAGAAATGGATAATCTAAGGGAGATGACATGGGAAAGAGAGATGTGAGGGAGCGACTCAGAGAGGTGCAGGGGCAGTGGCTGCAGAAACTAATGTGGGAAGACAGGCAGAGACGGAGGGAAAGGCAGGGAGCAGCAGAAGCTGGGATGGGGCGGAGATCACCATGAGGGAGAGGAGGAAGGCAGGACGGCAGACACAGTGGGGAAAATGAGACAGGTCTGAAGGAAGGAAGAGAGAAAACGGGGCAACAGGGAGAAGAGAGGCAAAGATGCGGTAGATTCAAAGGAAATAAGACAAGTGAGGGAGACGGACACACCTTGGGGATGAGCTGTCTGAAGACTGGTTCTTATTTTCCTGGGACTGGAAGCCAGAAAGATATTAGGTCCCTGAGGGGAAGAACTTATGGGTTCAGGGACACTTGGTCCCTGAGGGAGGAGGGTTCAGAGTTTTGTCTTCTTATGCGGAGGGAGTTGGGGTTTGGAAGATTTGCCATTATGATTTCCTGTCACAGGAAGTGGGGCTGGTGGGTTCAGAAACAACATCCTGCCCCAAGCCTGTCACAGATCAGAAGAGAGCCCCCACACACCCCAGTTTTATCCCTCCTACCTCCTCCCCTTTAACCTTCCCAACTCTGGCGGCCTGCAGGCCCTGCCTCCCCAGGGCCAGCCCCCAGCCCTTCCTCCCTCAGTCCCAGGAGTCCAGGCCCCCAGCCCCTCCCCTCTTGGATCCCAGAGTCTGAACCCCAGGCTCCTCCTGCATTAGGGACGCAAAAGGGGCAGGCTGTCATGGACCCAGGCTCCTGGGACTCTGGCTTCTCCCCCAGCAAGACTCCCTGTCCTTGGGCTCCCCGCCCTGGCTGGCCTCTGAAGGGCTCTTTGTCGCCACACAGAGGCCCTATTGAGCTGTGGAGGCCCAGATGGGGGAAGGCTGTTTACTCACCTTCACACCTGGGCCAGGAATCTCTGAGTAACCGCCCGGTGCCACCTCCTCCCATCCCCTAACCGCAGCCCCTCCTCTTCCCCCAGCCCTGCAGAGCCCATGGAGGCAGACAACGCTGTGGCCCGAGGGGCGGTGAGTGGAGAGAGCCAAGGGGTGAGAGGACTGGGGGGCTGTGAGCTGGGGAGCATTGTGGGCTGAAGCAACCGTCCTCTCCCACAGGCCCCAGGAACCCCCCGGCATGGCCTGGTGCCCGTCAGCATCATTGGGGCTGAAGATGAGGATTTTGAGAACGAACTGGAGACGGTGAGGAGGATATGGAGTGGAAAATCTTCTGTCTCCCGCTCCCTGGGGCTCCAGCCCCTCAAATCCCATCCTCAGTGCCCCTTCCCACCCTAGAGCCAGTGCTCTGTCCTCGGATGCTGTCCCGCTGCATCCTCTCACTGTCCTTTTCGCTCTCATCCTTTTCCCTCCTTCCCCATCCCTCCACCCTGTTCTTGGTCCCACCTTTTTTACTCTAGCCCCCATTTTCATCGCCACCACCCAATTACAGTGCAGATCCCTACTCCGTCTCTCCTAAGTTCTGTCCTCCTCGTCTCTCATTGTAACATTAAATCTTCTCCATTCTCCCTGACACCTGTCTTGATGCTACCATCACAGTGTAGATACCATCATCACCCGCTTCCTCCCAGCTTGGATCCATCTGGAAGTGCAAGGGAAGGGGAAAGGGCAAGCCCCAGGTCCGTCTTCTGCTCTCCAGAGTCTTACCCCCATCCCCACCCCACCTACCCCGCCCCAGAATGCAGAGGAGCAAAACAGTCAGTTCCAGAGCCTGGAGCAGGTGAAACGGCGCCCGGCCCACCTGATGGCCCTCCTGCAGCACATCGCCCTGCAGTTCGAGCCAGGACCCCTGGTGAGGGCGGGGCTGGGTAGGCACAGGGAGGGTGGGGCTGGGCCAGGCCAGAGTGGTCAGTGCATTAGGCCAGTGCAGATGAGCTGGGAGGGTGTAGAAAACAGATCCAGAAAGCAGATCTAGAACTAGAGAGCCAGAGGGACCACTGTGTGATCCAGACAAAGATTGCAGGTGCCCCACTGCACTCAGTGAGCAGTGAGTGCAGGCTGGGAGCACACAGAGCAGGGCTATGCAGAGAGCAAGAGATTCCAGAAGCCTGTCAGAAACCACGCCTCCACTCGCCCTCTGTGCTTGTGGCAGCAGCCCCCGTCCACCACAGCACCCTTTCCCATGGACTCCAGGAATCGAATCCCTCGCTCCATGGCCCGGACAGGTGCCACCAGTCAGTCATTAAGGGTTGGTGCCTGTGAGAAGCCATTAGCCTCCTCGGACTAGGTGGCACAGCAGGCCCCGATTCAGAAAAAGCAACCCACAAGGCAGAGAGAATGAACGTAACCGATGATCCAGAAACCACCTTTATCGGGTAGAAAACACCCGGGAGCTGCCAGTGCAGAGCCGTGCTATGTAGAATACCTGGGAATGTAGAGGACCCAGCAGGTGATGTAGGAAGGAAGAAGCTCGGTGTACAAGAAGCCCCGTGTAGCTCAGCACAGGCCTACGCAGTGAGGTTAGGCAGGGCCCAGGGCCACACAGCAGGTCCCTCCAGAAGATGAGGAGACTGGCAGAAATGCCAGGGAGAGATGCCTGGGGGATGCAGGAAACAGGGCACGTAGACTGATGCCGAAGCTTCAGAAACTGGCAGGAAACGGCCTTCTCTCCAGAGAAGTGGCAGACCCTCCTCTGGTGCATGTAGGCTCGGCCCTGTGGGGAAAGGCGTTCCCCTCCTGAGCCCGGGGGGTTTCTAGAACCTGAGCTCCAGGACTCAGCCCGGGGGTGGTGCTGACGGCCATGTCCTTGCACAGTTGCAGAACCTGAGGTTTGGCTGAGGTGACTCGGATGGCCTCGTGAGAGTTGTCCTTATGCTGCTCCCTCACCTCATCGGCTGGGGGATAGTTCTGGACCCCCGGGCCACTTCCCTGTGACCTTTCATGGAGTTTCTGCTTCGGGGTGGGGGTGATAGATTTGTTGAAAGTGTTTATAGGGGCAGAAACAGAGTCCCATCCCCACTGGGCTGAGTCCTTAGCACACTGAGACCGAGGCCATGTCCCTTACCAGACAAGAGTCCCCCCAAGGAGTCAGGACAGGTTGGAGTTCCCACTGCTTTGCCAACGTCACCCAACACAGGGCTGGCACACAGGCAGCCCCAGGAAATGCTTGATGAATGAATAAGTGGGCCCCACTTGTTCATTTTTCTATGTACCCAGCCCCCTGAGACACAGTTGAATCGGAACCTACATCCCCACCCCCACAACACTAACCCTCAGGTTTCTCATGGGGTTTCTAGGCAGTGGAGTGTAGTAGGGATGGGCTGCCTGGATTCCAATCCCAACTTTGCCACTTACTAGCTTTGTGACCTTGAGGAAGCTCCCTGAGCTCAGTTTTCTCATCTGTGAAATAGGATGGCGATGTGTATGAACTAACAGGCTTGTGTGTACAAAGGGTTTAGAATGAGTCTGGTACATACCTGTGTAGCTGGTGGTAGTGGCAGCAGGGAGGAGACAGCCACAGAGAACCATGCCACAAGATAAAAAATTACGGTGGCCCTGGGGAGGCCTTGAGAGAGGCAGGGCCTGGGTGTACGGGTGGTGGTCAGGGAGCACATTTCCTAGAGAACTCGAGCCCCACGGCTTTCCAAGGGGAAGTGTGGTCTGGGTGGTTGGGAAGGAGAACAGGTCCTGCTCTGTCTCCCCAGCTCTGCTGCCTGCACGCGGACATGCTGAGTTCACTGGGCCCCAAAGAGGCCAAGAAGGCCTTCCTCGACTTCTACCACAGCTTCCTGGAGAAGACCGCAGTAAGAAACACCTTCAAGGGCCCCAGTCCCTGCTGCCTTTGGCCCTGGACAGCCATCTGTCTCCTAACGCGCACGCTGCAGAGGGCAGCCTGGCCCCCTCCCACCGCTCCCCTCAGACCAGCATTCCTGGGCACTTAGGCTGCCATCCCACCGCTGCCGAGTCCTTCCCTTCACTCTGTTCTCCCTCCTGAGCAGGTCCTGCGGGTGCTTGTCCCTCCCACAGTCGCCTTTGAACTTGGTAAGGAGAAGAGAGGGGACTTTGGGATGAGGGAGAGGTCTCTAGCAGGGGCCAGCCCTCCCAGGAAGCCCAGGGATGGAGGCCACGTGCCCATGCTCCTTGGTCAGTGGAGATTTGCTCCTTCCTCCTGGGCACAGCAGAGCAGCCCAAGGAAGCATGACTGTTGGAGTCCAAGGGTGGGTGGGGAACCAGGGCCCAGGAACCTGGCCCCAGCCTGCACCCCTATCCCACAGACCGCACGCGGCCTGACCTCATCTCTGAGGACATCCAGCGGCAGTTCGTACAGGAGGTGGTACAGAGCCAGCAGGCAGCCGTCAACCAGCAGTTGGAGGACTTCCGCTCCAAGCGGCTCATGGGCATGACACCCTGGGAGCAAGAGCTGGCCCAGCTGGAGATCTGGGTGGGGCGGGACCGAGCCAGCTTTGAGGCCCGGGAACGGCATGTGGCAGAGCGGCTGCTGGCCCACCTGGAGGAGATGCAGTGAGTTGGGCCAGCCCCCACCCCCCTCAGCTGCCCCACCCACTTCAGGGTCCCTCTACAGCTTCGTGGCTCATTCCTTAGCATCTTTCCTTGACTTCTGGGTCCCACAGTCCTGGCATTGTAGTTCATCTGGTTTTTCATCATTCCTTCCCAGCTTTGGGGTCTCCCCCAGTTTCCAGGCCTGTCCAAGGCTTGTATTCAGGCCTGGTCCCTGTCACTTCTCTCCACTGCACCAGGATGAGATCATCTTCCTCCTATGATCCTCCTTCCCAATTGCTTCAGCAGCACCCTCTCTGCCTCTCCTCTGTCCTGTCCCAGCTTCAAAGGGACAGCACCCTGGACATTTGTGCTAGGTGAACAGAGACCCCAGGCTTAGCAAATTTGTCTTCTCCTTACAGACATACCATCTCTACTGATGAAGAAAAGAGGTGATGGAAGCAGAGAGGACAGCAGAACAGGCGCCTTAGTGTCCTGGGCCCCAGGGAGGAGGCACTGGAGACATGGGGTCCTGGGTGGAACAGTGTCTCCGGTCCTGTCCCCTGGAGCCCTCTCCCCTTTCCTCAGATATGCAGCAGGGGGTGGTTGTGGGGTTAGGGTGGGAAGTGAATGTGGAGGGGAAAGCTGTGGGGGAGCAGTGTGCATGTCCGTGCACGGTGTCCTTACTGTCCCCTCCCCACAGTGCTGCTGTGGTCAACGCCATCAGCCTATACATGCGCCACCTCGGGGTGCGGACCAAGAGCGGGGACAAGAAGTTAGGGAGGAATTTCTTCCGAAAAAAGGTGCTTCCCTGAGTGCACAAACCTGGCCTTTTTTCCCCAGAGACCCCATAGGGAGCCTTGTGACTCTGTGCTCCTGGGTCCTGTTCCTCTCTGTTGGTGGCTCAGAAATACCAGCCCCCTCTGGCCTCTCCCGTCTCTCGTAGGTGATGGGGAACCGACGGTCAGATGAGCCGACCACCAAGACCAAGAAAGGACTGAGCAGCTTCCTGGATGCTGCCCGCTGGAACCGGGGAGAGCCCCAGGGTGAGGTGCCCAGCCTCGGCTTGCCCTGACTTCCTCCCCACCCCCCACCGCACGATCCCATGGGTCCTATTTCTCGTTTCAGCCCCAGATTTTCGACATCTCAAAGTGGACACTGATGGTAATGGTCCTAAAACCAGAGCATGCATCCTGGGAACCTAAGAGGAAGGGGTCTCTTGGGTCTGAGGGAGGAGGGGGCTGGGGACTGGCCTCTCGGATCTGAAGGAGGAGGAGGGGTCTCCCGGATGACGGAGAGGACGGAGCTGGAGCACAGCAACAGATCCCCCCGGCCACAGGGGTTAGTTACTGGGCTCCCGTTTTCCCCTTTCTCCCTCAATGTCTCCCAAGCTGAGAAGCCAGGCCTCACAGAACGGAAGGGAGGCCTGGGGGTGCCCTCCCGGGAACGGAATGTTGGAGCCCCTGGGCAGGACACCCCTGGAATTTCACTGCAACCTCTGTCCGGAGACAGTCCTGACCGTGAACCAGGTGAGAGTTCCCTGGTCCCCATGGTGAGACCACCCCTTGATTCTCCCCAAATGTTCCTCCCTGCTCCTGGTCACCAGTGTTATTAATAAAATGACCCCTTCCCTCAGTTTCCCCTTTCCACAGCTTTCCTCCCAGACTCTGACCTTTGTCCCAGTGATGTGTTGCCCACCTCCTTGGACTACGTTTCCCATCACCTGCATGGCTTCCTTTCCCAGAAACCGCTCTGAGCACATTGCCCATCAATCCCGTTTCATTGGTCCCCTATCTTTTTGGCTCCAGGGACCCAGTCCCCAGACCCAAGAAAGGGAGGAGTTGGGGTGGGGGTGGGGGGAGACAGGAGGCAGAGCTCAGGTGGTAGAGTGAAGCTTCGCTAGTCCCACCTGCTGCCACCGCCCGCCCCCCGCCCTCCCCACTCACCTTCTACTGTGTGGCCCAGTTCCTAACAGGCCACGGACCAGCACTGGTTTACAGCCTGTGGGGTTGGGGACCTCTGCCTTAGGTGGTGAGCCTGCCAGCCCCATTGACTGCTTCTCACAATCCTTGTGTGGTCCTCAGCCCCTGGGACCTCAGACAGCCATTTGGCCAGGCCCAGTTTCTGATCCAGCCCCACAGTTTACTTGTGCTGTATCTTGGCAGTCACTCCCCACTCTGAACCTCAGACTTCTTATCTCTTAATGGGGTCTGTCCTCTTCCTGAAAGCCCTGGTTGAGGGTGGGGAGAGCAGGTGGATGTGGAGACATCGGGCAGAGCATCCGGTTCCCCTGCCAGTTCTGTGGGCCCCAGCTGTCCACTCCACACCATGTTCTCAGAGGTCTTTCCATCTGTCCATCCCCCATGGAAGTGGAGAGCAGCCACTTGGTGTTTGCCAGCCACTGGATGTCTGTAGTCCCTCAGCCCTCACTCCATGGCGACCCATAGTGGGGCCTCGGTGCCAAGGGGGCCTCCCAGCCAGCCCTGCTCCCCCTGCTGCTCCCACAGGTGTTGATGCCTCACCAGAGCTGGGGGACCCGCCCCCACAGGGTCCTGCCAGCCTGGAGCCCCCCGCGCCCCTGGAGAGCACTGAGGAGGGTCCTGATACAGAGAGGTGCCCAGGCGGGGGTCCGGGGGACAGAGTACAGGAATCGGGGCTGGGAGGGTGCGTGTTAGGGGTTTGCTGCCATTTGCACCTGCTATCTCCAAGCCACCTCCACTCAGCCCTGCCCTCTTTCTATCTTCTCCCTCTTTTTCCCTCTCCTTTTTCTTTTGTCTTCTCCTCTTTCATTCCTTTTTCCTCCCATTTTTCCCCTTCTTCCTTCTTTTCACAATTATTTCTCCCCTCCCTTCTCTCTCCTTTCATCCATCTCTGTTCCTCTCCCTCTTCTCCCCCTCCTCCCACCCTGGCCTTCACCCCTCAACTCCTCCTGGCCCCTCTCCCTCCGCCCCTTCACTTTTCTCACCGTCCTCTTTTTCTTTTAAGCCTCAGCCCAGCTGCCTTGCTCCTGCCTCCTGGTGCCCCTTCCCTCAGCCCCTGAGTCCTCCGTGCTCCGTGCCTGGGGGCCCTGTCCCCCTCACAGTTGGGGGGCAGGCTCTGCCCCCTGCCAGTCTTTGTGCTGCTGCTTTGGGGACCCTTTGGTGGGTGGGGGAGGTGAGTTGGGTTCCATTTGAGTCCACCTCTGACCCTGTGCCCCTCTCTCCCCAGAAGGTGGAAGAGGTGGGTGCCTGGGCCCGGGGTAGGGGGAGGGCTAGCCCCTCCCCCATTTCTCCCAGCCCCTCCCCTCTCCCCATGGGCCACCTGCTCCCCTTCACCCCTGAGAGGGGTGGGTGGGGACATCACCCTCCCAGTCAAAGAGCTAAGTATTAAAATCCCCCTTCTCCCACCCCCAACTCCTGGCTCTGCCCCCACCCCACCCCTCCTGCCTCAGGGAAGGGAGGGGTCAGTCCTGTGCTTCACACTGGGTTCCCCTCTCCTCCCCCACCAAATTTCAGTATCCCTCCTGACCACCCCTTACTGCCCAGCACCCCTAGATCTCACTGCTCCTTCTGATTCTCTCCTCTCTTCTGTTGCATGTTCGATCCCTGTCCTGGTCTGTCCCTGTCCTGTCCCTGTCCCGGTTTCTCCTTGTCTCTCTGTGTCCTGGTCTCCCTGCCTGTCTCTGCCCTGGTCTCTTCCTTATCTGTCCCTGTCCTGGTCTGTCCCTGTCCCTGTCCTGTCCCTGTCTCTCCTTGTCTCTCTGTGTCCTGGTCCCCATGCCTGTCCCTGCCCTGGTCTCTTCCCCATCTGTCCCTGTTGTGGTCTGTCCCCGCCCTGGTCTCTCCCCGTCTCTTCCTGTCCTGGTCTGTCCCTCGTCTCTGTCCTTGTCTTGGCCTCTGCCTGACTCTGTCCTTGGCCTCGGGTCCAGGCTTTCGGGGCGTCTGGGGCGCTCAGAGAGCCTGCGGGTGAGTGACCGCCGCCGGCCTTCCCGGGGCAGCCTCGGGGCTAAGGGCCGGGGTGGGGGCCGCTCCAGGAGCGACGTGGACATGAACCCCAGCTCTGCCACGGCCGTGCTTGGCCCTGCCCGACGAGCCACGTACGTCACTCCAACACCCCACCTCCCATCCACTGAGTCAGCCTGGAGAGTCAGGGAAGATGCGGGGAGGGGCCATGGCCAGAGTCACAGGGAACTGGGTATCAGATGCCGAGGTCACTGAGGCCTATGGTGGTCACAGGAGAGGGGTAGGACAGTTCTTTCTAAAAATCTGGGGGCTGGTCTGCATCCTGGGCCACCCTGTGGGCGTGGAATGCTGAAGCCACTGAGGGGGGTTGGACACTAGGAGTCAAAGTCTCCTCTGTGGGGCACCCTAAGCCAGGGTCTTAACGAGACCTTTGTCCCACAGCCCTGAGCCTGGAGAGGAGGGGGAGACAGGACGGGCAGGAGTAGAGCTGGAACCAGAGGAGCCCCCCGGCTGGCGGGAGCTCATTCCCCCAGACACCCTGCAGAGCCTTTCCAAGAGCCAGGTTAAACGGCAGGAGGTCATTAGCGGTAAGTGCCACCGGCTCCAGTCCACTGTGACCAAGGACACGATCCAGCTCTGGCAAAGACAAACAGATGCAGGGAGACGTCTGCCTGGGTGTTACTTACAACAGGCAGAATTTGAAGATGGCCATTTACTGCGTCCTTGTTAAATAGCCACTCCATGGACCAGGAGTGCTCCTGGCAAAGTGGCATTTCCAAAGAATTTCCAGTGGTGCAAGCTGTGCTGGCACTGAGAGCACTATTTCTAGCACAGGCCCATGTTGCCCTGTTTGTGAAATGTGGGCGTAGTAGCTCCTGTCTCCCGAGGCTGTCGTGACGATGAGGTGATTCACACGAAGCGCTTAGCGCAGTGCTGGGCACAGAGTGAGCACGCCTGCAGTTGTAGCTGTGACCCTCATTGCCTGGGCCGGGGAGAGTCCGTGGGGAAAGAGTCTGGGAAGGTAACCAGCATATTAGCAGTGCTTGCTCCTGGGCGGAGAGACAACGGGAGCATCCATTCTGTCTTGATTCTTTTCTGTGATTTTGAATTGTGAGTGTGTAAAGGGAATTTGGCAAAAGTAGATGCCTTCGGAACCTCTTTTGGAGGTTTACTTAAAGGAGGTACTCATTCAGCATTTCTAGGACAGTAGGTGAGTGCTTTTTAGCTCACAGATCCTTCTAAGAATGTAATCAAAACATAAGCAGTGTTCTCAGAACTTTCTGGGATGATGGAAATGTGGATATTTGCATTGTCCAACATGATTTCCACCAGCCATTATGTGGCTGGTGAGCACTTAAAACTGTGGCAAGCACAACTGAGAACTAGATTTTGTGTTTCATTTCATTTTAATTAATATTTGAAGAGCCGTATGTGGCCAGTTGCTACCACATCGGACAGCATAGCAAGTTATCTCACCAGAAAAATATACGTAACACACAAAACCACATGTTTGGTCTTTGGCAACTTCTGGGGCCCTTGGAGCTTAGGCAAGCACCTTGCGGGGCCCCTGGGCCTGAGGCTGTCCCCCTGTGCGCAGAGGGAGTCGTTGTCCCAGAAATTGAGGCTGATTCACTTGCTGGACAGTTAGGCGCTGGACACAGCTGCAAGTTTGTGTTCATTGGGGCAACCAAGTCATCCTGGTTTGCCCAGGACTTTCCCCAGCTTGGCACTAACAACCCCATGTCCTAGGAAGCCCATCAGTGCTGGGCAGGCTGGGACTCACTGGTCACCCTGGCTGGCTGCCACTGCTAAAAAGGAGAGGCAATGTGTCAATGAATCCTCAGTGGCTGTCTTGGGGGCAGGTGACTTCAACCCAGACCGAGTTATCCCTGTCCTGTCCCTTTCTTACCCCTCGAGCCTGCCTCTCAGACTGCCCCCCATAGGTGGGACCCAACCGTGCTTCTTTCCTGGTGGCCCCACAGAGCTGCTGGTGACCGAGGCAGCCCACGTGCGAATGCTGCGGGTGCTGCATGACCTATTCTACCAGCCTATGGCCGACGGCGCCTTCTTCCCCCTGGAGGACCTACAGAACATTTTTCCCAGCCTGGACGAGCTCATCGACGTGCATTGTGAGTGCAGGGCCGCAGCGCTACTGTGCCCCCACTGCTTCCTCCCTCCTTTGAGGCCTCAGCAACTAGGCCTGGGGTCTACTATGGTCTCTTGGAGCACCCAGCATGGGCAGCCCCTGTTCTAGCGCTGGGGGCAACCTTGCCCTGGACCTCCAAGGCTCACATTCTGAGGGGACAGTCCACCGGCCCCAAGTATCAGACACGCCTGCAGCCCCACCCCCGCCAGCTCCCCCTCTCTGTTGTGGGTCGTGACAGCACCTGCTATCCTCACCTCTCCCCACAGCCCTGTTTCTTGATCGCCTGATGAAGCGCAGGCAGGAGAGCGGCTACCTCATTGAGGAGATCGGAGATGTGCTGCTGGCCCGGGTGAGGGTGCCCAGCCCAGCCCCCACCCACTCCTCCCAGCCAGGGACCTGGAAGCCCCCAGCCCTGTCCTTTTGTCTGGGCTTCCATGTCACACCTGAATCACCCCCTGGCCTGAATCTCACTGTAGTTTGATGGTGCTGAGGGCTCCTGGTTCCAGAAAATCTCCTCCCGCTTCTGCAGCCGCCAGTCATTTGCCTTAGAGCAGCTCAAAGCCAAGCAGCGCAAGGACCCTCGTTTCTGCGCCTTTGTGCAGGTCAGGGGCAGGGAAGGCGGGGGGGGCGGGATCTGGGCCAGGGTCCCAAGGAGGAGGGGCTGGTGTCCCTGTCCCAGAGGTGAGCTCCGAGTGTGGGCCACCTCAGCACTGCTGTCCCCCCAGGAGGCCGAGAGCCGCCCACGGTGCCGTCGCCTGCAGCTGAAGGACATGATCCCCACAGAGATGCAGCGGCTGACCAAGTACCCCCTGCTCCTGCAGAGCATCGGGCAGAACACAGGTACGGCTCGGCCACCCTGCTGGACCCCAGCTCTCCCATCTCCTGCCCTGGCCGGGGGCCGGCAGCGTCCAGGCTTGGGGCTCATCAGGGCTGGCCCCTCCCTCACCCACAGAAGAGCCTGCGGAACGGGAGAAGGTGGAGCAGGCGGCCGAGTGCTGCAGGGAGATTCTGCACCACGTCAACCAGGCCGTGCGGGACATGGAGGACCTGCTGGTGAGTCTGGCTTTGTCCATCTCAGGCCACTTCTGCTCTGAGGTTAGGCCTGGTTTTCAGCTTGACCCTGAGGAGTCACTGCCGGTCCAGGGGTTGCCTGGACCCTTACCTCTTCCCTCTCAGGGTCACTGGAGGTCAGGCCTTGCCCTGGGCTTAACCCCTGGGGGTTACTGGGGGATGGCCCCGGCCCTTGGCTTATACCTATGACACTCTGTTCCCTGCTCCAGCGGCTTAAGGATTATCAGAGACGCCTGGACTTGTCCCACCTGAGGCAGAGCAGTGACCCCATGCTGAGCGAGTTCAAGGTGACCCCGCTGGCCTTCGCCCCCTTTCCCTGGGCCCAGATTCTCTGATAATGCACCCAGGGAGCGAGAGAAGCCCCTCAGCTTTGACCCTCTCCCATTCCCACCCAGCGCCCAGTCTGACCCCGATACCCAGCCCCCTGGTCACCTTCACCTTCCCCTGCCTTGCCCTGGTCTGCGCCGACCGTCATTTCCTCCTAACTCCAGAACCTGGACATCACCAAGAGGAAACTGGTCCACGAGGGCCCGCTGACATGGCGGGTGACTAAGGACAAGGCTGTAGGTGAGCCCCAGGGCATCGAGCAGGGGCCTTGGGGGTTGGGGTGGGAGTGCAGGAAGGAGGCGCTGAGCACAGCCTCACCCCTGCAGAGGTCCACGTGCTGCTGCTGGACGACCTCCTGCTGCTGCTCCAGCGCCAGGACGACCGGCTGCTGCTCAAGTCCCACAGCCGGACACTGACACCCACGCCAGACGGCAAGACCATGCTGCGGCCGGTGCTGCGACTCACCTCTGCCATGACCCGGGAAGTGGCCACCGGTGAGGCCTGGCTACCTAGGGCGTCTGCAAAGAGCTGAGGAACTCGCGTTCTGGGGAGGGGGAGGCCAGAGTAGAGGTTGAGAAGTGGGAGGCTTAACAGGCCTGAGGCTGAGGCTGAGGCTGTGGGAGGGAGGCCTGAGAGCTGGGTGGGGACAGGGCCTAGGCTGCACTGTGGATTTTATTAAGTGAGATGGAAACTGCCCCAGATTTCTACACAAAGGAGCAGCCAGCTCTGCCTGCTCTTTTGAAGACACCTGGCTGCCTCTTGGGAATTATAGGGGCACAGATGGGAGCTGGGAGCCCAGTGAGAAGGGGTTTGCAAACAAGTTGCCAAGGAGCTACCCCAGGGCCATGGTGGTGGAGATGCATTGCTGGTTAGAGGCATGAGAGGCAAGGCTGGGAAGAGGGCCCCTGGGGGGTCGGTATTACTGACACAGGAGGGGGAACTGAATCACGGGAGTCCTAAGGGCTCTGCCCTCATGGGAGCCGCCCTGGCTCTGAGCCCTGCCTCTCCCTTCCCTTGCAGATCACAAAGCATTCTATGTCATTTTTACATGGGACCAGGAGGCCCAGATATACGAGCTGGTGGCCCAGACCGTGTCGGAGCGGAAGAAGTAAGGGGGTCTGGGTTCCATGAACAGGTGGAGGACAAGGGCCAGGTCCCTGGGGAGAGGGTGAGGGCGGGGGGCCCTGGCAGAATATCTGGGGGCTCTGAGTGCCCAGGGGCTGGCCTGTCTCAACAGCTGGTGCACCCTCATCACTGAGACCGCTGGATCCCTGAAGGTCCCCGCCCCTGCCTCCCGCCCCAAGCCCCGGCCCAGCCCAAGCAGGTGAGGGGGGCCAGGAAGGGAACTGGAGGGCTGGGGGTCTGGGCCCGGCTTCCTCATGTGTCCCTAAAACTTGAGCTCTAGCCCTGTCTCCATGTACGTGTCTGTGTGTGTACATTATGTCTCTGTGCCACGCCACCGGGGCCCATCTCTCTCCTACTCAGACCTGTCTTCTACTGGCTGGGCTTCTCTGTCTCCCTGTCCCTGCTACCCCCCGGGGCCAGGGGTGTGCGAGTCACCCAGCACTTGCTCCCCCCAGCACCCGCGAACCCCTGCTCAGCAGCTCTGAGAATGGGAATGGTGGCAGCCGAGAGATGTCTCCCGCTGACGGTGAGCCTGGAGGGGCCTCAGGTCGGGGCAGGGGCGTCCACAGGGAGCCGGGCAGATTCTGACCACCTATCCTGCCCCCCACCCAGGCCGGATTGAGAGACTCCACAGCACCCTCCAGTCCTTCTGCAGGCCCGGCCCTGAGGGCCAGCTCGCTGCCAAAGCCCTTCAGAAAGGTAGCTGCCCGGCCCCCAGACTGCGCCAGCCACCACGCACATGACCCCAAGCCCCCCTGCGGAAACATCCGTCCCTTCCTGGGCCTTCAGTTCAGTCTCCCTGGACCCAGCCCCAGCCCTGCACTTCCCTTCACAGCCCAGCCCCGTCGGCAGACCTGGCTAACCCCAAGCTCAGCCTGGCCCGGTACCTGCTCTCACGTCTACCCACAGGCCCCTCACGTGTCCTCCGCTGAATGCCGCACCCCAGCCCCGCCTCTGACTCTGTCCCCTCATCCCTGGCCAGTGTTGTCCCTGAGGCAGCTCCTGTTCCCCTTGGAGGAAGACAGCGGGGCAGGGCCTCCCCCTGAAGGGGATGGAGTCCCAGGGGGCAGCCCCCTGAGCCCCACACAGACCCAGGAAATTCGAGAGGAGCTGCTCAGCCTGGAGGAGACCATTAAACAGCTGGAGGTGGTGGCCGGGTGTGGGGCAGGGGGGCAGGGGAGGTGGAAGGGGCTGACTCCGTGTCGGACCCCTCTCATGGGTGACCCCCCAACCCAGGAGATGGAGGAAGAGTTCTGTCGCCTGCGACTCGTCCTGTCTCAGCTTGGGGAGAACACTGCCCCACAGCCAAGCTGTACCTGAGGTTCCCTGCCCCAGGCAGGTAAGTGGGGATCTAGGGGACCCACGTGCTGCCCAGAGACGAGGGCCAGAGTGGGTACCTCAGGGGCTCCCCACTCTACAGCCCCATCCCTTTCTCTTCTGTCTTCATCTTCTTGAATCTCCCCCGTCCACCTCCTTCTCTCCATCTCTGTCTCTGTCAGTTTCTGTTTCTCTGGCCATTTTTTTGTTGTCTTTCTTCCCACCCTCCCTTTTTCCCTGTTTTTCTCTTCACTCTGCATCTCTCTCCAGGCCTCCCTCCTTCTCCTGCATCTCCCCAGGCATTCTTCAAGTTGGAGAGGACATGAGGACCACCCACCCACAACTGCACAGCTGCCACAGCACCTGCCGCTCCCAGGGCCCCGGGGCCCAAGGAGAGGGGGCCAGGCTTTCGAGGCCACATCTCAGGGGTCCACCTGGGATCACTGCCTCCCCCCATCCTACCACTGGCCTTCTGCTTGAGGGACTCAGGACTTCACTCCCAGGGGCACCCTGTGACCCCCATTTCCTGGGCCATCTCAGTATTGCCCGGTGGGGGACCACCCCTCCATCTCCCACCCCCAAGTGCCTTTGCTGTTTTTATACCCTGAATTGGAGGTCTATTTTTAATATATATTGTCTAAGGAGAGGTCTGTGTTGTGAGGGTGGGCCCTGGAGCGGCGGCCGGCGTGCCCTTCCCGCGCCTGTGCCCCCGCGTTGCCTCTGTGCCTCCTGCCTCCCTCCACTTGTTCATTCCATGTTTTAACGATTCTTCCCCAAACACCCGCACACACCCCCTCCCGGCTGCGCCTCCCCCGCTGAGCCCCCATGGTCACCCATAATGCTGGGCGCCCCACGTGCACACTCCTTTCTGTTCTTTTATTTTTGTAGTAAACTCTGGAGGTGGCTGTTGGAGGTCATGGGGAGGGGGGCCCTCCTGGGCGGGGGCTGGGGGCGGGATTATTGCTCTGAGCGCCCTGTCCCCAGGGGGCCTGTGTAGAGGGTGTCAGGACTGGGGCCAGCACAGGGGACACACGGCCGCACAAACACGCAGGTCACAGCACAGGGGTGGGGATGGGGGTGTGGGAGGCTGGGCACCGTATTGCACTTTGGGAGTGGGGCCAGGCAGAGGCCCCCTCAGACCAGAGCCTGGGGAGGAGGCTGGAGGTTGCCGTGTTCCCTCCCCTCTCTGAGGGGGAGGTGAGACCCCCCCCGAGTCGGGTTGGGGAAAAAGACTGGGGCAGCCATGTGTCCGGCCCTGGAAGGGGCCGAGGGCTGGTCCCTGGCCTCTGGTGGGACATCGAGGGCAGACCAGACAACAGAAGTGGCTGCACGGGCAGTGGCCCTGGTCCCTGCCCCTGCAGAATCCTTCACCCCATGCCAGCTCAGGTGCAGAGCCCTCCTTTGCCCGCCTTGGCCTTGGGGGGCACAGGGAGGCCCTCGTCGCCCTCACTGTCAGAGCTGCAGCCGCTGACATCTGTGATCTCCAGCTCCGAGTCGCTGTCCTCCTTCCCTCCCAGTGCAGCCTCTGGACCCCCAGCACCCGGCAGTGCCAGGCGGGGGGCTGCTGCCAGGCCGGAGGGGCGCTCGGGGCCCAGGCCCTCCCCTGTGGCAGCCAGTAGGGGCGCAGCTGTGGGCCCTCCCCCTGCCCCTGTGGAGGGCAGGTGGCCCAGGGAGCTGGCCAGAGGGTTGGGGTAGAAGTGGGGGGGGTAGAGAGAAGGGGGCAGCTTGGGGAAGGGGCCAGCGAGGTACGGGTTAAAGTTCCAGGGGTAGTCTGGGAAGGCTCGGCTGTAAGGACCCAGCAGACCAGGGGGCTTGGAATAGCCTGTGGCACCTGGGGGACAGAGGGGGTGTGGTGCGTCAGGCTGGGCCACTGCTCCATGGTCACAGCCGCCTCCCTGGGCCTCAGTGAAGAGTGCCACTGACTTGCTGTGCTCTGCTGCATGGTTCTCCCCGGTGTCCCTCCCCTACCTGCCTCCCCTCATGAGACTTCCCCCACCTCCATCTCCACCACTGTCCCCATTCCCCCACGCCCCTGAAAGCCCTTCTCCCAGCCCATCCCCCTTTCCAGTTTCCCTCCCTGCCTCCCCATGGATCCTTCTCTAGCTTTTAAACCCACATGCACGCACGCACAGAGCAGCCTTGCCTGGCCTCCTTCCTATACAGTCTGCTCTCCATGCTCCCCGTCTTTGCCCCTCCTCTTCGCTCAGACACGTGCAGCATCCCTCCCCTCCACCCAGCACCCCTGGAACCCTGGGTCCTTACCTCCTGAGCCCAGGAATGGGAAAGGGCTGTCCAGACGCAGTTTGTCCGTCTCAGGGGTGAACACCGGTGCCCGGGCTCCCGGCTCTCCCAGGCGTGGGGCAGAGAACAGGGTCTGCAGGGTCTGGAGAGGGAGGGAGGCGGGGCTGCTCAGACTGGCCGCCCCCTCCCCAGGAGCTCCACGGCTGTGGGGAAGGCTGTGGGGACGACAGATGCTCCGCTCTGGGGCCTCAGCATCCAGACTCACCTCGGGGGTGAGGGGAGGAGCATCCGGCCCAGGGGCACCCCCAAAGGGACCAGGGGTCAGCAAGAGCGGGGAGCCCGTGGTGGCTGCCGCCACGTCCAACAGTGGGTAATTGACAAGCACGACTTTGCTGAAGTTGAACTTGTAGGTGAACCTCTTCCCTTTGGTCTTGTGGAGAATCCGCTTGTTGTAGTAGTAGCTGTGGGGAGAGGGAGAATAGGGGGTGAGGCAGGATACCTGGGCCCATGCTCTGTGCCGGCCCGGAGCACAGCTGGGGAAGCAGGCTCACGGCAGTCTCCTGACTAAGGTCCCAGGGCAAGGAAGAGGTGAGGCAGGGGCTGGGGTCCTGGCCTGAGTGGCTCCAAAGCCCAGAGCATGGGTCCCTTCTCCCTGCCCGCCTTCCACTCAAAGAAGTACGTACACCCGTGGAGAGCCCTGGGTCTGATCTAATGGGATTCTGCCCCAGGAAGCCCAGGAAAAGCTCCCAGGGGTGAGGGCCCAGAGGGACAGTGAAGGGGGAAGGGACAAGGCCCCAGCCCTCCTCACCGCAGGGCCCGGCTCAGCTTGTCGTAGTTCATGTGGGGCTTGCACTTGCGGATGCCCCAGAGCCGGGCCACCTCGTCAGGGTCCTTGATGACGAATTCCCCGTAGTCCCCCTGCCAGGCGATGACACCCTGGTATTCCTCCTTCTGCAGCAGCTCCAGGATGAAGTGCCACAGCTGGATCTGCCTCGAGCCAGGGGACGACTCCGGCTTGTAGGCCCAATCCGGGAAGGCAAACCCTGGGGACAGGAGGCAGGGCAGTGGCCCCTGCTTGGAACCTAGGAGGCGCCCAGCCCTCTCTGACTGCGGGCCTCTGCTGAGCAGCTGCCTGGCCCCAGGCACCTTTAGGGACCTGATTCCCAGTCTCCATACCCCACTTGCTGTCTAGTCCCCAGACTGTGCCAATAGTGGGAGAGAACTCAGCATCAGGCCCCTGTCTTGGCACAACCCTCCCAGGTTGAGTGTCCCGGGGTGGAGGGTAGAAGGCACCAGTTTACTGCCTCCTTGACTCCAGGGAGAAGCTGGGAAGGGCCAGCTTGCAGGGAGGGGCACCCCCTGCACAGCAGGGGCCCCTCTCTGTCTCGCACCCAGGGCTCTCACCCCAGGAGGCGTCTGGTCTCTTCTGCATTCTGAGCAGCCCAGATTCTTGCCGTCTCCCCGCTCCCGCTGCCGCCGCCCTGCTCCATCTCTCCCCAAAGCTCCACGCCCTCTAACCCCACCCTGGCCCATCCGGGCTGGGCCTGTGTGCACACATCTCAACCTCTGTCGTGCATGTGTGTCTTTCACGCCCATGTCCCCTCCCTGCATCCATGCTGTCGGTCTGACAGCAGTGTGACTGCAGGTACACACGGCACACAGCCTGCCACACACACGTCCGCTTACCCTCAAGGGACACCAGCTATACCGTGGGACACGCATGCCCCACACTGGCACACTCCTGCGGGGGCACACCACCAACACAGGGTGCCACCAAGGCAGACGTGCCAGACACCCAGCATCGCACAGCCATCCCGGCACACGCAGTTACACATCTGCTCAGGCCACTCCGAACTGGGACTCATGACAAGAAACACACAGGACCCCAAAGACCCAAAAAAGACAGAGTGTGGTAGAGACAGTGAATCAGCATCAAGACACATATGTCACCTTGACGGACACATGCAGCCGACAGACACATGACAGAACAGCCTGCCAACCTACCCACACTCTGTAACCCCCCCGCTCACTCAGTATTACCCCTTTCATACTCAGAGCATCCTGCTCCCCGTTGCCCAAGTGTGACCAGAAGTCGGGGGGGAAATGGAATGTGCTTGCCTGCCCCTAAGTCTCATCACCCAGAAGGTCCCAGGCCCCAGGTCCCGCCTCTGTGCTCACTCCTGGGCCACACCCTCTGTCCCTTTCCCATTCCTGAGACCCCAGACCCTGGCATTAACACGGAAGGCAGGACTGGTCTATAAAGAGCTGAGAGTCGGGCCAGAAGGGGAAGGCGGTTAGCAAGGGAGGCGAGGCTGCGCTGGGAGACCAGCCTGTATCCACTTGCTCTGCGATTCCGCAGCAGTTCCCTGCCCTCTCTGGCTTATGATGATTTCAGGGGAGGGAGGCAAGGACGAGCAAGGCCGGCCCAGGCTGCTTGGTGTATAAATGTGGGTACTGATGCCTCCCTGCCTGAGGCTGGGGGAGGCCAGGCAGTTTCCTCCCTGAAGGGAGAGTTTTCCCTCAACTCCATTCTGGGTCTCTCTCACCTCAGACCACAGGGCTCAATCAACATGCGAGCTCCAGCCCGTTTCCCACCTAGAACACATCCTATCACAGACACACCCACCCGACCCAAAGACAACAACAGAACTGGCCACACACATGCAGACACACAACCCAACCCAGAAACACCTCCTGTCCTCAAATGTGTTGTACCTGCTGAGACTAGAGAGAGAGGACCCACAACCTCAGCACAAAGATACACATGGTGACAGACAGCCTCCCACACTCAGTCACACCCAGTGACACACAGATGCAAGAAACCCCACACACACCTGCCAACACAGACGCAGCCCCCAACACAGAGGCCCAGGGGGCCGCCCACCCTTGCACCACCGAGACATCCATTGCGAATGCCACACACCATGCAACAGACCTGTAAGGATCAGGCGAAGGGTCTTCCCCGCATCAAGGCAGGTGTACGTTCAGTGAGCTGGGAGGCACCCCCCAATCCTCAAATGCAGACACACTGACGTCCCAAAGAGACACACCACGCCCGGCCAAGAGACACTCCAGGAGCCTCCGCTGTGCATGTACAGGTACGCACAAGCAGCTTGCACACACAGACAGGCTCGCCTAGTGTGGCCCTTTCCTTCCGAAACACTCCAGTGTGACACAGGGACACACTCCACAGCCCCAAATCACCAGGTACAGAGTCTCAGTCTCCACAAACACACCCAAGTGCACACACATGCTGCCCATCTGTGGGGCGTGTGACTTGGATTCAAATGCACATCCAAGCCAGTCTTCCTGTCCACATCTCCAGCTCTGAGCATCCACTTCTGAGCAAGCCGTCGTCTCTCCCAGGGCTCTGGCTGGCTGGGCTGTGTCTCCCAGTCCCCTTGACTGGATAGTGCCCCCACCCAGTTGTCCACCAGCACCTGGCCTAGTGCCCCCTCTGGTCCTCGTCCCTGCTCCATCAGTGCCGGTCGGTCTCCAGGCCCCCTGCTTCTCTCTGACTGCAGGTCCAGATGCCGGCAGGCTGAGGTGGGCACGGCAGACACCCCAGGACCTCAGGCGCCTAAATCCTCGTTCCTCTCACACCTCAGTACCTCACCCGCCCTCCAAAAGACCCTCACATCCCAGCAGGCAGGTGGCAGGGACATCTGGCCGTGAAGTTTTCAGCCAAGTTTTACATTAAGGAATTGGATTCAGGGGACCCTGACAGAGATCCGGACGGTGGAGGGAGGAGAGTCAGAGATCAGAAAAGGAGGGGCTGCTGGGAAGGCCCAAGGGCTGAGGGGTAGAGGGGTCCAGGCCAGTTACCGGGGGTCCAGAGAGCCGGCAGGGCAGGCGGGGCGAAGAGAAGGTCGGAGACGCAGCTACAGTCCATGGTGGAGCCGGCCCTGCAGAGAGGCCGGGACAGACATGCGGGGACAGGACGGGGAACAGGCGGGAGAGACAGATAGGGGTCAGCACCAAGACCCTGCCCAGCCTGACGCCGGCCACCCTTTCCCCCACATTCCTCCTTGGTACCCTCGTCCTGTCCCTCTCCCAGCCCTGTGCCAACCATCCTTCCCTCCCAGCCGCTCCTCCCCTTGCTCTGCCTCGATCACTAAGCACCAGGGTGCTCCCAGCCTCCATCCTCGCTCCTCACCACTCACTCGCTCACTCACACGCGCTGGCTCTCGAACCGCCCACCCCGCACCGTCTCGGGCGGCTGTCTGCTGTCTCTCCGTCCCCTTCCCGTGCCCGACCTCTCCCTCTGTGCCTCTCTGGGTCTCCCTCTGCCTCTCTCTGTGGCTGCCTCAGATTCATCTCACTCTGAACCTCGCCCCGCCTCGGGGTCCCCCCGGCTGACCCTCAGCCTGTTTCGTCCAGCCCCGCGAAGCCCCGCGCTCTCATCTGCCTGCCCCGAGCTGGCCGGAGCCGGGTGCCCGCCCAGCGGGCTGGGAGGGGACAGGCCCGGCCCTGCCCTCCGCCCACCTACCAGCAGAGCGGCCCCCAGCGCCTGCCGGTGCACTCCCACAGACACCCTCCTTCAACCCGCAGCTCACAGCGCACACCCTGCCGCTTGGACCTGCTTCCCTTCCCCAAACACTTCTTTCCTCTTAGACCTGCCTCCCCCCTCAGACACTCCTTCCCCCCTTAGATAGGCCTCCTCTCTCCAACCCGGACTCCCTCAGATATCCCTCTCCTCAAATACTTCGTCCCTCTAAGATACCCCATCCCCTCCTTGCTCCTCTCTCTGAACCCTTCCCCTTCCTGACAGCCCCACCCCCTCAGATGCCCCACCACCCCAGAACCCCTCCCCTTAGACACTTCAGCCCCGCATACTCTTAAATACACAGTTCCTCTCAGACACCTTGCTGCTCCCCAAAGATCCTACACAGCCTTCAGAAACCCACAGGTACTCTGCTCCCCCATAAGCCCCACCGCACCCCTTGGACACCAAACAGGACTTGTCAGATAGCTCATCTCCCCTGCAGACTTCTCCAGTCTCCCACAGACACCCTCACCCCGATCCCCGTGGCCCAGTGTCTACTGACATCCCTCCCACACTGTCCCCTCCAGCTCTAGCCCCTCTGGGGGCCAGTCCCCACCCCCAACCTCGTCTGCCCCCGCCCCCGCCAACGCCCATCTGCCCAACTTTCTCTGCTGGCCTCCCTCCCTGCCTCTCTCCCTCTCTCTCTCTCCTTCCTCAGTCTTTTTTTCCCTTCTCTATCTCCTCCCACCATCTCCCCCATTTGCCTGTCTCTCTTCTCTCTTTCCTTGTCTCCCCCCAACCTGGGGTGTCTGTCTGCCCATCACTGTGACCTTCTGTCTCTCTGCATCTCTCTCTCTCCATCACTAAATCCCTTTTCCTCTCTCTCTGTCTAGCACTTCCGCGCCCCATCTCTTTTCCATGTCTGTCCCCCCATCCCTGGTCTCTCACTCCCTGTCTCCCCAGTTCTTCCATCTCTCAGTCTCTCTCACTCCCTCTCTCTCCACTATCTGTCTCTTCCTCCTTCTCTCTGCATCTAACTCTCCCATCTCTGTGTCTCTGCCCCCACCCAGTCCTTGTCTCTCCCCTTATCTCCCTCCCCTCTGTCTCCCCGTCTCTTCCCATCACCCTACTCCGCACCTCTCCCCGTCCACCTCTCCCACCTCCCCGGCTCTCTCTGCCTCTCTGGGTCCCCTCCCTCCTTCCTCCACCCCATCCCCCCCCCCACTGGCCCCTCTCATTTCCGTGTTGGTTTTGATTTCTCTTCCCGACGCTTTCAACTCCCCGCCGCCTCCTCCGGACACGTTATAACGAGGAGCCGTGGGATCGGCGCTCCAGGCCCTGCTCCCACGCTCCCCCGCCGTCTCTCACACGCGTCTCTGCCGTCTCGCGGTCTCTGCCTGCCACTTCTCCCATCTCTGTCCCCCGCCTCTGTCCTGTCGGGCCCACCCCACTGGGACTGGGTCCCTGCCTCCCCCTCCCATTTTGTTCCCTTCCCTGCGTTTTTGCCCTGACTATCCTGGTTCGAAGCCCCGCGTCTCTTTTCCCGTGTCTCTGGGTTCCCATGGGTCTGTCTCTGGGTCATGCTCCCCCCAGTCTCTGTGTCTCCACATCGCTCTGCTTTTATGTCTCTGGTCTCCTTGTCTCTCTGTCTCTGTTTCCACGTCTCCGTCTGTCTCCGTGTCTCTGTTTCCATCCCAGTGCCCATCTCTTGGGGCCCCTTTGATCTTGCCCTGCCCCTGGCGCCCCCCTGGCCCCATTGATCACCGATCGACCGACAGAGGCAGTGGGGCCTGCGGGGGCCGGGGCTGCGGGGCAGTCAGGGGTCTGGTAGGACAGCAGCAAGGACAGACAGACAGACAGACAGCCCCAGCCAGGGTGGCTGTGGAGGGGGAGCTGCTGCACCCCCTGCGGCTCCCCACCGGCCTGCGCTGTGCGGATGGGGACTCCGGGCGAGCTTTAATTTTTAATTTTATTTTGCTTCCTCCACCCCCCTTGCCCCCCATCTCCACCGCCTGCAGCCATGGCACTGAATGTGTGTGCGTGCGTGTGCGCGCACAGCGGTGTGGAGAGGGGCTGGGCAGGCCCGGGCTGCCTCCCTCCTCCCCCTGCCAAGCAGACACACAGACCCACACCGCAACCCAGGCACACACACCGCACCGTCACACACACCACACTGCACAGACACATGCCAACAAAGTGACACGCACACCACCACACACAACACAACACACAGACACATCAACAAAGTGACATATACCACACTGTCACACACATCACACCACAGACACATGTCAATGAAGCGACACACATTGCAACATGACACACAACACACCACACACAGTCGACAAAGCGACATACACACCACACACACCACAGACACATGTCAACAGCGACACACATGACATCACACACCACACACCACAGACCCATGCCAACAGTGACACACAAGATAACATCACACACAACACACTATGTACACATTAACAAAGTGACATGACACACTGCAGGCACATGTCAAAAGGCAACACACATGTCACATGCAGCATACCACAGACACATGTCAACAAAGCCACACACCACACCATCACACACAACACAACACACAGATGTGTGATGCATTTGTCAACAAAATCATATGTACAAAAAATGCTACAATACACATCACATAGACCCACACAGCAATTCAGCCACATATGCTGCCCTGTCCAGTACAATACACAAGCATGTGTGTCAAAAGTCACACCCCCCCCCCAGGGCTGTCACACATAAATCATGATCAGACATTGCACAAACAAAAACACACAATTATACACAGATACACATACAAGACACATCAATTCAGTCCCACACATAAAGCACAAATCATAGACACTAACATATAATCACACACCAAGGTTCACAATCACTGCAGATATACAGACTACGGTGACACCATGCCACACAGAAACAGAGAACACTCAGGCACCCAGGCACATGCACTAGCACAGCAAAGCCAGTCACACACAAGTGACATAAAAGCACAGAGTCACACAGACAAGCACCAGAGACCCTGTGTGCACATGTCACGTCATGCATGGACACAGAGATGCACACACGCATACACACGGACCAGTCTGAACAGTGGCACAGTCAGACCCGCAGGCCGTCTGGGTGAGGGGTTGTGTTGGGGCGGGAGGTGGGCACTCAGAGGGAGCCCCACCTGGGGCTCTACTGATCCTGCCGCCATCTGCCCAGCTGTCTGGCTGTCCATCCGCCCACCCACCACGCCTGAGCATGTCACCGCATGTGCGTGCACGTGTGTAAGGAGTGCCGCAGTCTCAGGCCCACTTCTGTGCTGTCCCTTTAGAGACAGATCTTCTGGCCTCTCTCAGACGCCGCTGGGTGTCAGTGTCTCTGTCTCTGTCTCTCTCTGAGGGTCTTGTGGCTCCATCTCTCTGTCTGCCTCGATCTCCAAATATCTTTTCCAAGTGTCTCTGTTCCTTGTCTCTGTCTCTGGGCGTCTCTGTCTCTCTTCCTCTGTCCCTCTCTGTCTCTCCGTGTCTCTCTTCACCCCCCATCACTGAGGCCCCCAGGGCTGGGGTTTAACCAGTTGTTTTGATTTCTCTAAGCTGCTCCGGCCGCCTCGGGAGCCGCCTCGGGCCTCACACACCCCCCACAGCCCCTTCATCCCTCACCCAGCCCCCCCAGCTCCCCTTAACACAATCTGCACAAGTGGAATGAAAATTGATTTTTTTTTTAAATTTCATATCTTCTCCGGGGCTCTGTCTAAAGAGGAGAGAGATGCGGCCCAAGACCCCTCTCTCTCTGCCGCCCCCACAAGCACACACACACCAACAGGCACACACATTACTCCCAGACACACACCAGCGCCCCCCGCTCCCTTGCACCCACCCAGGGCGCACACCCCTCCCTACAACACACGCTTGTGCAGGACACATCCGTGCACACAGTGGCGACACACAGCAGACCCCCCTGCACTCTCCGTCCCTGGACACCCACCACTGGGCCTACTTCTCACACCACACACAGCCTGGCCGCCTGCCGTCGCACACAGTATGTGTGCACGCTCACACGCACACCTGCCATCTGGGTGACATCTACGTCCGTGTGCACACAAACCCAGGCTCAGGGACTGTCCCATCACGGGCACTGAGGAGACCCAGGAGGACAGGGTGAGGAGGGTGACAGGGAACCTCCTGCCAGGACTTGCCCCCCGCGGTCGTCCCCACTCCCCGCTCTGCCCATGTCAGCCACCAGCTCTGGCCTGACCCTGGGTGCGGGCGCGGGTGCGGGTGCATCTGTGCCTGGGGTGTGCGCACACACACGCTGCTCGTGGCGTCTCTCAAGGCCGCACACTGTCGTCCCCACCCCGGCACACAGAACACACACACACACACAGAGGCACCAAGCGCCCA